ATTGACATTTTTACAATATTAAGCTAGCCTATACATAAACAGGGTATATTTGTCTATTTTTGTAGGCCTCCTTTGGTTTCTCATATTAGTGTTTTATAGTTTTCTTTGTTCAAGTGTTTTCTTTGTCTATTTAAGTTTATTTTGAAGTATTTAATCTTTTGGGAGCATCTTTTAAATTATACTGTTTTCTTGATTTGTTTTTCAGAGCTCTTTTTGTCAGTATAAAGGAGCCCTTCTGATTTTTTTATGTTAATCTTGTACCTTGCCACGTTGCTGAATCTTTCAATTAGTTACAACTATTTTTTTGCCAAGTCTTTGGGATTTTCTACATATAGGTTCATATCACCTGAAAATAGGTTTGACTTCTTTTTTTTGTTTTTTGCCATTTTGGATCCCTGTAACATAGTTTCTGTTTCTTTCTTAATAACTCTGACCAAGATTTCCAGTACAAGACTGAATAGGAGTGGTGATGAAGAACATAGTTGTCTGTTTTTCATTCACATGGAGAGTGTTTGCAATTTCTCTTCATCGAGAGAAATGTTGGCCATTGGTTTTGTAGATATGGCCTTTATTCTGTTGAGGAGTTTCCCTTTTTATTCCTATTTTGTTAAATGCTTTTATTAGAAATTTGTGTTGAGATTTTGTCAAATGCTTTTTTGGGTAAACTGGTATTTATGAGATATTGCAAACTACAAAATTCATTCTATGAAGCAAGTATAACCTTGATGCCAAAACCAGGCAATAAGCCCACACAAATAGAAAAATATAGACCAACATCCTTCGTGAAAATAGAAGCAAAAATTCTCAACAAGATTCTGGCCAATCTGAAAACTTATCAAAAATATTTTTTTAAATCTATAAAAATTAATTTACCATGATCAAGTGGGATTCATAACAAGGCTGATTCAGCATTAGAAAAATAAGCAATATAGTCTGCCACATAAATAAAGCAAAGAATAAGAACAACATCATATCAATAGAGGCACATCCAACAGTCTTTCTCATAAAAAAGATAAATAGGAGTAGAAGGGATTTCTGATAAACTCAATAAAATAGGAGTAGAAGGGAAATTCCTCAACATAAAGGCCGTATATGAAAAACAGTGGCCAACTTCACATTACACTCAACAGGGATGTCCTCTAGCACCACTCTTATTCAACAACTTACTGGAAATTTTCATTGAGGAAACAGAAATGCATTAAAATGATGTGTCCTGTAAACTAGTGTTAAACACTAATGACAGAAGACCTGCTGAGCTGTGGGATGACATTAAGAGTATCATACATTAAGAAAGCAAAAGGTCATTGAAAAGATCAAAGTGGATGTTAGAAGACTCTGAAAGTTGCTGAAGGCAAATGGAAGAAATGATGAAGTCAAAAAGGTGAGCAGAGAATTTCAAAGGGCAGCTTGAGAAGACAAAAGTCGAACATTAAATATACAATGACCTACAGTTAGAAAACCAAAAAGGAAGAACACTTAGCATATCCTAAACTGAAAGAGCTAAAGAAAAAGCTCAAACCTTGAGTTGCACGATTGAAAGATTCTTATGGGTAAAACTGAACGATACAGGAAGCATCAAAAGAAGATGGAAAGAGAGAGTACACAGTCAGTGCTACCAAAAGAATTGACATTGAACCTTTTCAGGAGGTAGCAAATGATCAAGAACTAATGGTACTCAAGAAACCAAGCTGTACTGAAAGCATTAACAATATGGCTCCAGGAATTGATGAAATATCAACTGAAATGTTTTAACAAGATAATGAAGCAGTGGAAGCACTCTCTTGTCTATGCCAAGAAATTTGGAAGACAGCTACTTGGCCAGCTGACTGGAAGAGATCCATATTTGTACCCATTACAAAAAAAGGTAACCCAGATGAATGTGCAAATTATAGGACAGTATCATTGATATCTTATGCAAGTAAAATTTTACTGAACATCATCCAACAAAGGTTTCAGCAGTACATTGACAAGGAGTTGCCAGAAGTCCAGGCCAGATTCAGAAGAGGATATGGAAAGGATATCAGAAGGGATATCATTGCTGACGTCGGATGGATCTTGACTCAAAGCAGAGAACACTAGAAAGGCATTTACTTGTGTTGTATGGAGTATGTCGAGGCAGCTGCCTGTGTGGATCATAACAAACTATGGCTAGGTTTGAGAAGAATGGGAATTCCAGAACACTTCATTGTGCTCATAAGGAGTGTGTACATGGATCAGGAGGCAGCTGTGTAAAAAGAACAAGGATTTCTGCTTGTTTTAAAATCAAGAAAGCTGTATGTCAGAGTTACATCATCTCACCATACTTATTCAGTCTTTATACTAAGCAAATAATCAGAGAAGCTAGACTAAATGAAGAAGAATGTGACATCAGTATTGGAGAAAGGCTCATTCACAACCTGCGAAATGCAGATGGCACAATCTTGCTGAAAGTGAGGAGGACATGAAGCACTTGCAGATGAAGTTCCAGGATCACAGCCTTCAGTATGGATTACAACTCATTGTAAAGAAAACCAAAATCCTCACAACTGGGCCAAAAGGTAACATCATGATAAAGGGAGAAAGATTGATGTTGTCAAGGATGTTGTCTGGCTTGGATCCACAATCAATTCACATGGAAGCAGCAGTCAAGATATCAAAGGATACATTGCATTGGGTAAATCCGCTGCACAAATATTAAAAAGCAAGGGTGTTTTTTGAGGACTACGTATGCCTACCCCAGCCATGCTATTTTCAATTGCCTCATGTGCATATGAAAGTTAGACATTGAATAAGACCAACAAAATAGATGCATCTGAACTATCATGTTCATAAAAATATTGCAAATACCATGGACTTGCAAAATACAAAGAGATGCCTGGCTTAGAAGTACAGCCAGACACATCCTGAGAGGCAAGGATGGTGAGACTTTGTCTCATTTACTTTGGGCATGTTATATGGAGAGACCAGCCCTTGGAGATAGGCATTATATTTGGTAAAATGGAAGGCCAGCAAAGGAGAAGACGACCTGCAAAGAGATGGATGGACTTGACACCATGGCTACCACAATGGGTTTAAGCATAGGAACCGTTGTGAGGATGATACAGGACCAGGCCATGAGTTGCTATGAGTCAGAACCAACTTAACAGCATCCAACATCAGCAACAGCAATAAATGACAACTCATGACTATCGTATAGTTGCTATTTTCATATTCTTTTTGCTTTTTTATAATTTATCTTATTCCAGCAGTCATAGTTTTGTTCTACGTTTGTTCATGAGAGTTACTCAAAGTTTGCCCTTTATCCAACTCTCATGGTTCATATAGTTTCCAGTCTCTTAATTTTTTTAAATTAATGTCTGCTCCATGGGGGTGATTTATTATTTTCCCTAATAAAATAAGGATGTCTCTAAAATGAACCCGATATATATATATATACACCATAGATATATATCAATGGAGTTTGAGTTCACGCTTAATCATACCCCTAATTTAAGAACAATGAGTTCTTATGACATGGCTGTAGTCATGACGAGATCACTGAAGATACGGATGCTATCGCAAAGTGTGGTGAAGAAATCAGATGGTGCCTGGCTAACAAGAATGTCTGGGGTCTTAAAGGCTTGTCTTAAAACAAGCAGCCATATAAGTGAAGTTTCATCTAAGTCCACTCTGAAGTAGCACAGCAGCCTGTCTGATCCAAGGATTGTAAACAATTAAATCCAAGGCCAGAAGAGGGAGGGTATTAGAGTTTAACATTCTGAGACCCAGCTTGGAGAATGTTTTGGATGACAGTGGAAGAATCTATTTGCAGGGCCCCTACATGGATTAAGCCTCCAGTGAATTCCCTCTGATCATTGACGATGGATGTGAATAACCTTGCTGTCAGACAAAGTTGTATTTGAAAGAGGATTAATACAAAAGTAGTTAAGTTTAAAATTTAACCCTTTAGTATTTTTTGCCCCTTTGGACCTATTTTGAATTTGTTCTAGTTTTTAGACATTTCTGCATTCTTTGCAATTTTGGTTTTTCCATTGTATTTTGTTGCTGTTGAATTCTTTTGTGTTTTTTTGTTTGTTTTTTTGTATATTAAAACCAGGCTATGTAAATCTATAGAGACAGTAGGTCTTTTAGGTTTATAGCAGGAGATACTGGGTGGGGGGGGGGGAATGGGGAGCTAATAATGATTAGTACAAGAAAAAAGAAAATGTTCTAAAATCGATTGTGGTGATGACTGCACAATTCTTTTTATATGATTAAGCCATTCAGTTGTGTGATCCATGCACTAGAAAATTTTTTCCTAAATAGGCATCTAACCTCCTAAACAGCTAGATAATAAATTGCTATTTGTTAAATAGACCCATTTATGGTATTTATATTATGGCAACACTAGACAAATTTTATAGAAAATGCTGGATGAAGACCAGTGAAAATTTTTTTTGCTGCTATTAATACTATGGTAGAATTTGATGTTATTAAGAAATTGTGGTTCTGTGTCTTTTTTTTTACCCCTGTGACCTAGAAATGGCATAGTGGTTACATGTTGAGCTACTAACCTCAAGGTCAACAGTTAGAAACCACCAGCCATTCTAAGGCAGGTAGATGATGCTTTCTATTCCCATAAAGAGATATAGTATTAGAAACCCACAGGGACAGTTCTACCCTGTTCTATAGGGTCTTTATGAGTTGAAATAGACTCGATGACAGTGTGTGAGAAATACTGTTTCTGTTTCAAGTGCTTGGTTAAATTAGCCTTGACTCTTTGTGACTAATTTTATTATAAACAATCCTCCTTGTCTCCTGTCTATGGGTTCTTTGTGAAATCAACACTTATGCATATACAGTACTCTTTAGGTACTCTTTATTGAACTAATAGTTCATAAAATATTTATGGGTTAAATGTTGATATTCAATTTGTATGCATGGATTTATCTGAAGTATATTAATAACACTCAAGACACTTTTAACCAAATAATTCAGATGCTCTGGGTTAGTTTTCATTTTTAATACTGATTTTATCACAGGGACATGATGATGAAGTATTTGTTTTGGAAGCTCATCCATTTGATCAAAGGATCATACTTTCAGCGGGTCATGATGGGAACATTTTTATTTGGGACCTTGACCGGGGAACCAAAATTCGAAATTATTTTAACATGGTAAGGAAAATTCATATTTTGTTGATAGTCATACTGGCTTCTCTTATGTGATAACTTGGTAATTAAGCTATAACATCTTCCAAAGAATTTCTTGTCATCTGTTTTTAAGTTTGTAAAATAATTCAGAGAATGAAGTAAGGCCTGTTAGTAGACCAATCTAACATATGGCCTTTCTGGGTGTAAGAATGATCTTGGTCTTGTCAGCATTTTCCAAGTTCTGCTCCCTAATCCTGAAACTTCAGAAACTCAGAATTATTAAACTTTTGGAATCTTATTTACCAAATTCACAAAAAGCTTCATATTTAAACTATCATCTTAAATTTATAAATTACTGTAGCGACTGGAGTACATCTATATGAGTTTGTCATTAGTAAATCCCATGTGACTTAATTAGTATTTGAAGGTGATTTGGCCATCATAGATTTGGAGATATGGATTTTCTTAAGATAAATTTTACGTAAACCATAGAGAAATCTGACAAACTATCTCTTCTAGTAAAATACCCATCAATAGTAATGGGAATATCCACCATATTTTAGTGTTCTACTCTGAAGAATAGTTCTAAATAAATATTTCTAAATTATGGCGTTTTGAGTTCCCCATTTAAAGGCTTTATATAGATCTAGAGTATTAATAATATTCTCTTTCTTAGATTATTCAAATTGATTTATGTGTTTTAATTTTAAGCTGATTATTTTATGACTCCATTGTATTACAGCTTTTTTTTTAACATTTTATTAGGGGCTCATACAACTGTTATCCCAATCCACACACACATCAATTGTGTAAAGCGCATTTGTACATCGTTTCTCAAAACATTTTCTCTCCATTTAAACCCCCGACATTAGGTCCTCATTTTTCCCCTCCCTCCCCGCTCCCCCCTCCCGCATGAGCCCTTGATAGTTTATAAATGGGTATTTGTATTACAGCTTTTGATGTATAATATTTTGATGATAATATTTTGACTTTGCTTATACAACACTTTTGTCAGTTTAATTGGTTTGGATCTTTTTTTTTTTTCCCGTTCCCACCCACCCTTTTTAAAAAATTTCCTAGTCACCTGTTTATTATTTCTTGAGGAATGGCAATGCTAGTAATCATTGATAGCTACCGTTGCCTTTGCTTCTCCGTAGTTTTTCTCCAGGCTTTACTATTTCAGTAGATTTCTGGAGAGTACACTGGAATTTTAATACATCACAGAATCCAGGGCAAATCTATCACTTATTCATAAAATGATTGAGAGAGATTCTTCTGAATTTCAGATTGAAGGTCAAGGCCATGGTGCAGTGTTTGACTGTAAATTCTCACCGGATGGAAACCATTTTGCCTGCACAGATTCTCATGGGCATTTACTGCTTTTTGGTTTTGGGTGCAGTAAATGTTATGAAAAGGTTAGTATATTTGATTTTTGTTGTAGACCATATTTGGGGATTTTATCATTGAAAGTTGAAGTCTTCTAGTTCAGTGGTTCTCAACCTTCCTAATGCCACGACCCTTTAATACAGTTCCTCATGTAGTGGTGACCCCCAACCATAAAATTATTTTCATTGCTACTTCATAACTGTCATTTTGCTACTGTTATGAGTCGGGCGACCCCTGTGAATGGGTTGTTCAACCCCCAAAGGGGTCACAACCCACAGGTTGAGAACCAACTGCTGTTCTAGTTAATAGAGGATGTGTGTTAATGTGTCAAATAAGAAAGGTACTTTCCTTGGTAAATGTTTCTGTCATTGCCAGGATGTTAGACTTGACAGTGGGAATAAATCTTAACATATAGGTTGATTAAAATAGATATAAAATACATTAGAAAATAATTTTGCTTAAAATGGATTCTATGGACTATATTTCAATTTTAGTAGGAATGACTCTTCCAGAATGTCTTCTGCTTACCATAAATTATTTGTATGGAACTAAGCAGCTAGTGAAATCTACTAGTAACTGACTATATTTATTTTCCTTGGTTGGCTATCTCATTTATTATTAATACTATTGAAATATTTGGAAGTTCACTGAATTGGTTATTCCATTTTGTTAGCTGTGAATTTGCCACAGATATTAGAATTTTAGCATTGGAAAAGAACTTAACTTTTAGTGCTTTTGATATAATTGATATTTGTCTGTCTCATCATTTTATATTATAATTCATCTATCTTTATATGAATAAATATAAGGAAGAAAAACACAGTTCTATAGGGGTATATGATTTCTCTAGCTTAAAAATATTACCGACCTTTATTCACTGATTTGTTCCTTTACATCTTCCTATCACAATTGATGAAATACTAAATAGGGCCAAAGTACCAAAGAACTTAGAAAGTTTATGGACAAAATGGAGTAAAGGGTTATGTTCTTGGGTTTTTTTTGGGGGGGGGGGATTTAGTGATGAAACTGAGAATTTATTATTTTTTTTCCTTTTTAAAAATATTTTTCGTTTTTATTGTTTTATTAGAGGCTCATACAACTCTTATCAGGATCCATACATACATCAATTGTGTATAGCACATTTGTACATTCATTGCCCTCATCATTCTCAAAACATTTGCTCTCCACTTAAGCCTCTGGCATCAGGTCCTCATTTTTCCCCTCCCTCCCCGCTACCCCTCTCTCATGAGCCCTTGATAATTTATAAATTGTTATTTTGTCATATCTTGCCCTGTCCGACGTCTCCCTTCACCCACTTTTCTGTTGTCCGTCCCCCAGGGAGGAGGTCACATATAGTTCCTTGTAATCGGTTCCCTCTTTCCTACCCACTCTCCCTCTACCCTCCCAGTATTGCCACTCACACCACTGGCCCTGAAGGGATCATCCGCCCTGGATTCCCTGTGTTTCCAGTGCCTATCTGTACCAGTGTACATCCTCTGGTCTAGCCAGACTTGCAAGGTAGAATTTGGATCATGATAGGGGGTGAGGAGGAAGCATTTAGGAACTAGAGAAAAGTGTTTTTTTTTTCATCGTTGCTACATAGCACCCTGACTGGCTTGTCTCCTCCCCGAGACCCCTCTGCAGGGTGTTTGTTTTTTGTTTTTTTTTACCAACTTTTTGAAACCCTGAGGAATTTGTATGGGAGCCATGGCTGAATTCTTCCGGCTTTCAAGAGAATCTAACTCCATATCTGCCCAAGGATGATTCCTGTGAGGCAATCTTTATCCTAACCTGACACCGCTCATCCCTCCCCTGCCACTCAACTTCTCTGCTGGGTTCAGTAATTCCTTGTAATAGCCATGTAAAACTCACAGGTTTATTAGGAGTTTTACAGGTTACCACAAGTCAGGGTCAGGAAACATTAAGAATATTCCTTTATTCCATTGCAGCACCTCTTCTCAGCCATACTGATAGACACATCTCTTTCTCATCCTCCGCCACATGGCCTCCTGCCCTCTACCCTGCTTGCACAAGTGTCACAAAGCCCCATTGGCACTGATAGGTACCCAAGGAGCACCACACTCTGCAAGTCAGCATCCTCTCTGAAGGCGTTCAGTTTTACTCTATCTCAGAGTCTTGGCTCTGCTCCTGTGTTCTGTCTCATGGTCTCAGTACTGTCACTGCTAGTGCCTCCATCAGGCAGGTATCTCGCATGAGCTCTGCTGGTGACTGTTCTTTCTTGATGGTGATAGGAATTCTATTTGCCTTTCTGAAATGATTTACTTTTCTATTTAAGGGAATGGCAAAACTGGTCAATCCCTAAGTTAGAGTCTTCTATTCACTTTTCCCCCATGATCCTATCCAGTCATTTGGTAGGAGTTACAACAACCATGGATAGAAGAGCCATACAAGCAATTTCACTTGGCCACTAGCCAGTCCCCTTGTAAAATGCACATTTTATGATTTTTTAAAACAAATATTGACGATCGTCTAGTTTATTTTTTATTGAGAGAGTAAAATGTTAGCAGCAGCAGACTACAAGAGAATTCAAAAACTGCCTGATTTGTAAATTTGTCCTAGGGATAAAATGTGTGCTTATCTGTAAACTTCTTATATATGTTAACTACTAAAAATCTGTCCAAAAGATTCCAGATCAGATGTTCTTCCATACTGATTATCGACCTCTTATTCGTGATGCCAACAACTATGTATTGGATGAGCAAACTCAACAAGCTCCTCATCTCATGCCTCCTCCATTTTTGGTGGATGTTGATGGAAACCCTCATCCCACAAAATTCCAGCGACTAGTACCAGGACGGGAAAATTGTAAAGATGAACAGCTTATACCACAACTGGGTTATGTGGCTAATGGTATGTTTTCACCAATGTTAAGTTTAAAACATTTTATAAAATGTACTTTCTGCTGTCATTGTATGATACATTCCCCCTTGCTGAACTCTGGAATAAGTTATAGTATATTTTATGTAGCATTTTTATTAATTTTCAAATGTCTAATATTTGTTACCCTGCAGAATAATTGTACATGGTTTATCTCATCTAGATACGGATAAGTGGATAAGGAAAAAAGAAATAAACCCTCAATTAGAGGGTACCTTCTAAGAAACCCTAAAAATAAGATTTTATTATCTCTTAAATAGTATTCAAAACCAAAAAGCAAGCTCATGCCATCGTGTCAATACTAACTGATAGAAATCTTATAGAATCTGCTCCTGTGAGTTTCTGAAATTAACTCTGTTAGGGAGTAGAAATCCTTATCTTTCTACCACGGAGCAGCTGAGGATTTCAAACTTCTGACTTCATGGTTAGCAGCCCAATATGTAATCCACTATGCTATCAAGACCCGAATACTCAGAAATTCCTTTATATCTTGGATTATTAATAAGATTTTCAGCCAGGTATGAGGTGATAAGTTAATGATTTGCAAATGAAATTTTGCTTGCCAGGGCCTTGAACATCCTATTAGAATATTCTCTCTTTAATACTGGCTTGCAAAGCTCTGATTTATTAAACAAGGAAGAATGTTGTGAAAGTTAAATAAGAGGCTAAGCTGTAAGTATCTCAAAATCCATGCTAGCTGGGCATTGAATAAGGAAGACTGAAGAAGAACAGTTACATGGGAATTATAGTGCTGGTGAAGAATATTGAAGTACCATGGGTTGCCTAAAGAACAAACAAATCTATCTTGGAAGAAATACAAGATTGCACCTTAGAAAGAAGGATAGCGAGACTGTTTCATTTATTTGAACATGTTATCAAGGAAGATGGTGTTCCTGGAAAGGAATATCATGCTTAGTACAGAAGAAGGGGAACGAGAAAGAGGAAGCTCCTCGACAAGATGGATGGATGGGCACAGTGGCTGCAAAAATGGACTCAATCATAACAATTGTGAGGATGGCACAGGACCTACCAGTGTTTAATTATGTTGTTCATAGGGTTGCTATGAGTAAGATTGACCCGACAGCACCTAACAACAATAGCAATGGTTGTCCTATGAGAATTTTGTTGGGAAATCTTACCTCATCTACCTTGTCGCCCTGGTCTTGCCTTTCAGACTTCTTTTGCTCCCCAAATTCAAAGAACATTGCACAATCACAACATTTGAATCCCCTTAGGATGCCAGAACACCTATTTTGACCTGGATTTAAATTGAAGAGTACAGAATTCTCTGCGGAAGAGTTAGAGAGTGTCTTAGGTTGGCTTCTTTAGAGAAGCAAAACCAGCGATACTTACATGTGTTTGTATATAGAATGAGCTTTGTATTGAGAAGTTGCTTACACAGTTATAGATTAGGTAAATCCAATCCAGTTCATGTCAGGCTTCTCCTGACTCACGGAAGTTGAAGAACAGGAAACAAGATGATGAAGCAGAGGTGGAAGGGGACACGGGCTGGCAGATGCAGAGATAAATGAATCCAAAGTTGGCTGAATGAATCTACCACAGGTAGTCTGCAGATAGTTCTTGGGATCCACAGGCAACACAATAGGAGATTGAGGAACCAGATGCAAGATTTAGCTCCAGAAGCCAAAGGACCAAAGAGGATTCATCTCTGCTCATTTTTTACCCAGGAGTGTCTAGTTCACATAATCCCTAACCACCACAGAGGTTCAAAATACTACTTTCAAAAGCATGTAATTCTAGATGGGGGATATGTTGAGAAACAATAACTTCATATTTTGTTATTTTTGTTTGATAAAGATTTCTACGATTTTGTAGCAATACTTTTTTGACTTATAATATTTTACCCTGAAATACTCATTATTATGTATTAAATTATTTTTCTGCTCATCAAAATGCTGAGGTGCCTCTGAAAAACAATATTTGAAAGATCATAATTTTGATTACATTCAGGCAGGAAATTCTCAAGAAGGAAAGATGTAGAGTATTTTAGGTGGAGTAGTGATTACATTTGGGGCTGCTAACCATGTCAGCCACTCTGGGTGGAAAATGAGGCTTTCTATGTACTCCTATAAAGAATTATAGCCTCTGAAACCCACAAGGGCAGTTCTACCCTGCTCTATAAAATTGACCCGATGGCAGTGAGTTAGGTTTGTTATGGTTAAACTTAAACTTTTCTGAAATACCTTTTTATGCCTGACTTTTTAGCCTGGAATTCACTGTGAAGAAAATTAATTTTAAAATGAATTATTTAATATTAATAATCTTAGAGATAAGAAGGTCCCCAGTGTTACCCATTTAGGGGAACATTGGTTAAAATCAAACATAAAAGCTAACATCAGAACATTTAAAATTATTTGTGTGAATTCTTAATTATGTTCATTTTAATGATATTTAGAGCATACTAAAGTGTAATTAGTTTTGTGACTTTATATTTGGTCTCAACTCATTCAGGTGATGGTGAAGTAATAGAACAGGTAATTGGGCAGCAGACCAATGATCAAGATGAGAGTATTCTTGATGGAATAATCAGGGAACTGCAGAGAGAGCAAGATCTGAGGCTAATTAATGAAGGAAATGTTCCAAATTTTCCAGTTAATAGATCATATTCTGTCAATGGTGGTAAGTGTGTATATATTTGTAAAAAGTTACAGTTAAACGTATTTTAATTTACTTTTGCCAACTCGTATGTGAGGAATATTTTACTTTTCAAATAGAACATTTTAATTATCATACAAGTATGAAATAATATGTACAAAAGTGCTATAGTCTTCAGACTTACCATTTGTGGCAAAAAAATTGCATTTATATAGAAATAAAAGTGGTATAATTTCTTAAGTCAGTAATTTTCTATCTCTTTTAAAAAAATTAACGGAGATGCTGCAATAAGTGCTGCTCCTGTGAAGTCATACAAAATCATACATTGGAGATAACAGGGAGATTCAAAACATGTATGGAAAAATTCCATTTTCAGTTTCGTTTTCCTATGAACTTTTTGAATCTCCATCCACCCTACCCCCCACCATATCACAGGTTCTGTTACAGACCACTACAATAATAAAGTGAGTAATTTTGTTGTTTCCCAGTACATATAAAAGTTATGTTTATAACATAGTGTTTTGACTAGATAATAATATTTTTTTTCCTTTCTTGATAGTTTTTTTTAAATCATTTTATTAGGGGCTCATACAACTCTTATCACAATCCATACATACATCAATTGTGTAAAGCGCATTTGTACATTCATTGCCCTCATCATTCTCAAAACATTTCCTCTCCACTTAAGCCCCCAGCATTAGGTCCTAATTTTTCCCCTCCCATCCTGCTCCCCCCTCTCATGAATATATAATAATATTATGAAAATTTTTTGAAATATTGTGAGAATTACCAAAATGTGACACTAAAACATGAAGTGAGTACATGCTATTGGGAAATTGGTGTTGATAGATTTACTTAACAGTGGGTTAAAATATGTAGCATCTGCCAAGTGCAGTAAAATAAGGTCTGCCTGTATAATGTTTTTAAAATAGAACCTACTTTTAATTTAAAAATCACAGCTGACCCTTGAACAATACAGGCATTTGGGGTGCCAACCTTCCATGCAATTAAAAATTGACATAATTTACAGTTTACCATTGACAATATGTATTTGAACTGTATATGCTCACTGATATGCAGAAAAATGACCAGAAAGTTTGAACTGTTCATGGGGAGGTGATTAACTAGCATCACACACTGTTTCAAGTGGATACTACAGCACTGAAGCTCACCACAGTTGCAACACACACACACACACACACACACACACAAATTCAAGTATAAATGGACTTGCCTACAGTTCAAACCCTTGTTTTTCAAGGGTCAACTGTACTACTGAAAAATTGACCCTCCCTTGTTGAGGGAAGGCAGCATACCAACTTTTTATCTTGAATTTATAAAAATACAGTATAAGATAAGAGACTATTTTAAAGAAATATAAAGGCATCTACAAAATTGACTTTCACAACAGTTTTATCTTAATACCAATATAAATTATTGTACAACTTAAAATGACTATTCTAACCTGTTGTATCTCTTCCACCTTTATATAAAATGTACCTATGCATTGACTTCTATGTAAATTTTAACTGTTAACAATTTATAGATTTAAAATAAATTTAGTTCTCCATTCAGCTTATTTGGCAAACCTCACTCAGTTAGTATTTCCTGAACCTGAGACAAAATGTGAAGTGGGATAATAGTCCGACATATCCAGGCCCTTTGTTTTTAAGAAATAAAACCTTCCCTGATTTGAAAATCCATTAATGAAGCCATTATTCAGCTCTGCTGAATCTATCTGTCGATGGATTTTGAAATGCCATTAGTCAAAAGGGACACGTTTGACTTTTATTTGTCATAATTAATTATTTGGGAGATTTCTTTCTGGAGTTTATTTTACCAATTGAATTTCATTTCCATTTTTGCTTTATTCACAAATACAAGAAAAGGAGATTTTTTTCCCCTTGTATGTTTTATTTAAAATGGGCATCTTTCTCTCGGGTTAAAAAGAATACTAATTCTGTTACTAGTTTTTCTTTTACTGCTCACCAATCTTGGATGTGAAATGTTGATAAAGTATTTTGTTGTTGTTTGCAGTTTTTCTTATAATTGTTTAAATACTTCATTTATTCTGAATCCATTTAGTGGAGAAGATAAAAGATCAAATTTATATTAAAAGGCCATTTTCTGATTGACTCACTGAACTATAATGAACATTTGTGCATTTCTCAAATAATGTTAAATATAATTTTTCAGTGAGCATTTAGTAGTTTATAGATGCGAATGTGTTTGGGAAAACATAATGTAAAACTTTAAGCATATATTTCATGTCTGATTTATTCATAACACCATAAAAATCATGAAATACCGAACCCAAAAAGCAATCTGACTGCCCTCGAGTCAATTCTGCCTCACCATGACTCTAAAGGACAGAGTAGAATTTCCTCGGTGAGTTTTTGAGACTGTTTATGGAGTAGAGAGGCTCCTGTGTATCCCACATTTAAAAAAAAACATAAAATGTTAAAAAGGTGTCAAAAATGTAAAACAGAAATAGAATACTGTCCAGCATTATTATCTTTTCTTTAAATCTTCTGTTTTTCTTAGAACTGATTTAGAGCCTTTGCTCAGAGAATGTTATCTTTCTCTGCTTTTGTCTTAGCTCTGAGAAATCCAAATATCGACATACATTCTTCCCCAAATATTGGACTTCGTCGCAGTGGGCAAATTGAAGGAGTGCGACAAATGCATAACAATGCTCCTCGGAGCCAGATGGCCACGGAAAGAGATCTTATGGCATGGAGCAGAAGAGTGGTGGTCAATGAGCTAAATAATGGAGTTAGTAGGTGAGTGAATCAGGTTATACGCCTATGCGAATGTAAAGCTTTATTTTTAGTGAATAAATCAATGTGCTGTATTAGTTAAGTGACTGATATATTTACGGATGTAATTGATTTATACATTACTATCTTCAACATATTCCCATTAGTTCATTCCCTAACAAATATTTAACGATTATGTATAATTTGCTGAAAATTGGTCCAAAAAGGCTGTAGGTACGCTACGTGGACAACACTGTGGAGACAGTGTGGGAATTGTGCCCGATCTGACCTCACCACATTGGGGCAAACCACTAAGGGCGTGCAACAGAGAGGAGGGGAAGCAAAGCAATGAAGTCATCGAGAAATACCAAAAATAGACTTTGGGGTCAGGGCGTGTACCCCATCAGACTCAACTAGAAAACACTCTTAAAGGTCAACAAACAGACCTGGAACTATGTGTCGGCTTTTCTTTTTTGTTGTTGCTGTTTTGTTGTTATTGTGCTTTGTTTCATTTTTTTGTGCTTATTATTATTTTTGTATGTCTATCTAAATAAGATAGGTGGGAAAAACAATTCGGAGGAGAAAACAATGGGACCAACGGTTCCAGGGGGACATGGGAAAAGGAGGCAAGGGAAAGGAAGGGGGGTGCCAACAAACCCAGGGATAAGGGAACAACAAGTAATCTAAAATCCATAGCGAGATGGGTGTAGGATGCCTGGTGGGGCTTGATCAAGTGCAGTTAGCTGAGAGGAATTACTGAAACCCGAATAAAGGTTGAACATTATAGCAGGACAACAGGAAAGTAAAAGGAAATAGAAACAAAAACTAGGAGGCAAAGGACATTTATGGAGGTCTAAATACAGGAATGTACATATGTAAGTACATTTATAACGATAGGGAAATAGATCTATGTAGATATGTCTATATGTAAAGTATTAAGGTAGCAGATGGACAAGTGCTCCCTCAACCCAAGAAAACTTTGTTCTAATAACCCGGCATTTTGCGATGCTCACCTTCCCTGACATGATCACTAAAGACAAAATGGGTGCATAAGCAAATGTGGTGAAGAAAGCTGATGGTGCACAGCTATCAAAAGATATAGCATCTTGGGTATTAAAGGCTTGAAGATAAACAAGCGGCCAACTAGCACAGAAGCAGCAAAGCCCAAGTGGAAGAAGCACACCAGCCTGTGTGATCACGAGGCAGTCGTAGGATTAGGTATCAGTCATCCAAGACCCAGAACAAAAATTATATTGATGTGAATGAGGGGAAGGGCAAAATTATATTGATGTGAATGAGGGGAAGGGCAGAGTTGAGACCCAAAGCCCATCTGTAGACAATTGGACATCCCCTTACAGAAGGGTCACAAGGAAGAGACGAGGAGCCAATCAGGTTGCGGGAAAGCACCGATGAAACTTAGAACTTTCCTCTAGTCCTTACAGACTTCCTCTGCCCCTACCCCCTACTATCAGGACCCCAATTCTACCTTACAAATCTGGCTAGACCAGAGCATGTACACTGATACAGATAAGAGCTTGCAGCAAGGGAATTCAGGATAGATAAACCCCTCCGGACCAATAATGAGAGTAGTGATAACAGGAGTGTAAGGGGAAGGTGGGAGGAGAAAGGGGTAACCCATCACAATGATCGACATATTACTTTCCCTCAGGGGGACGAACAACAGAAAAGTGGATGAAAAGAGACAGTGGTTGGTGTAAGACATGAAAAAATGTATAAATTATCAAGGGTTCTTGAGGAAGAGAGGTGGGGGGATGAGCTGATACCAAGAGCTTACATAGAAAGAAAATGTTTTGAAAATGATGGCAACATATGTACAAATGTGCTTGGACACAATGGATTTATGTATCAATTGTGGTAAGAGTTGTATGAGCCTCCAATGAAATGATTAAAAAAATAAATAAATGAAATTATTTTTTTAGAGGTTGTGGGGACTGCTAAAGGTTTAAGCCAGATCCAGGTAAAGATATAAACAGAGAAATATCATTACTAATGCCACATGGATCTAATCCAAAAATAGACAATAACAAATTGATATTTGCTCCTATTTTATTGACTTTGCAAAGACTTTTGGTTCCGTATATGATTACAAATTATGGATAACGTTGTAAAGAATGTGATTTCTGGGACATTTCATTGTGGAACTTATACATACACCAAGAAGCAGTTATTTAAAAAGAACAAGGGTATATATACTGCATCATTTAAAAATAGAAAAAGTGTGCAACAGGGTTGTATTCTTTTGATGTACTTATTCAATATATATGCTAAACACATAATTTGAGCAGCTGGCCTATCTGATGAACATAGCATCAGGATTGGAGGAAGAGTCATTAGCAATCCAAGGTAGGGAGATTACACACCCAAAACTGAAGATGAATTGAAAAAAACGTGCTGGTAAAGGAAAATGACTACAGCCATCCATATGGATTACACTTCAACATAAAGGAAACAAAAAGCTGCACAACTAGATTAATATGCAACATCATCGTAAACAGAAAATAGGGAAGGTGTTAAGGAAATTCAGGAATTGGTCAGGAAATCAAGCAATGTATTCCATCAGACAAATCTGTTGCAAACAAAAATGGTTCTTTGAGGACTAAGGCAGTCCTGACCGAAGGCATGGTATTTTTTTATAGCCTCATATGCATATTAAAGTTAGACAGCAAATAAGAAAGACTAGAGGAGACTTGAATTGATGCCCTTAAACTCTGGTGTTGGCATAGAATATTGACTTAGAAAAACACACAAATCTCTCTTAGAAGAAATACAGCCAGAATACACCTTTGAAGTTTGGACATCAAGATTCATCTCATATACAAGGAGGTACCCACCAAAAATGGAATTTTTTTTCAAAGCTATGTATTTAGTGTTTTTTTTTTTACAAAGCAACCATATCACCTTCAAAGTACTCTCCCTTACACTAATACCTTCATCAAATCTGCAATTCCATTCTTGGAAACATTCTTCCAATTAATCTGTTTGGATGGCTGACAGCACTTCCTTTGTATTTTTCTTCACTTCTTCTACTTTGTCAAATCACTGTCTTTTCATGTTGCTCTTGGGGAAACAAAAAGAAGTCACGGAGCAAGGTCAAGTGAGTAAGGTGTGTTGGGCAAGAGAGGCATGCTGTTTTTTGCCAAAAACAGGTGCCCTGAGATAGCTGCATGAGTAAGAACATTGTTGTAGCAAAACCAGCCCCCAGTCTGCCACAAATCAGGCTTTTTGGTCACCCACTATTATGCAATCGTTTCAGAACCTCTCAATAGAAAGCTTGATAAACAGTCTGGCCTGGTGGAATGACCTCCAAATGCACTACAAGTTAGCATTTTTGTCCGTTTGGGAAGTTGATGGACCTCCAGAATGAGGTTTGTCATCAATCAACATTTCACCTTTTTTGAACCAAGAAAACCACTCATACACTTGAGTTTTCCCATAGTACTGTTCTTGTAAGCTGTGCTTAACATCACAAGTTTCTGCAGCATTTTTCCCAAGCAGGAAACAAAATTTCACAGCTGTATGCTGTTCTCTTAAATTGGCCATCACAAAAAATGAGGTTTGAGTGAAAATGAAACTGCTTTTATGAAAAAATTCACTGTGGCCCAAGAGAACCTTCCCAGGCGACAACACAGGGTGCACTAACTCAGAGCGAGTTGCTCCATGCTCACCTAGTGGGGGAAAATGCCTCCTACAAGAGCTCTGCTCAGTGGAGCTTTTTTCCTGTGTTTTGTTTTGTGTTCTTTTTGTTTGTGTATGTGGTGGGGTACCCCTTCCTATTTGCATGTGTTATTAGGAGCAAAAGTCTTAAAGAAAGACATCATGCTTGGTAAACTTAAAGGGTTAGCGAAAAAGAGGAAGATCTTCAATAAGATGTATTGGCACAGTTGCAGCGGTAATGGGCTCAAACATAAAACATAGCAGTTTGGAAGATGACACAGTACTGGGCAATGTTTCATTCTGTTATAAATAGGATCATTATTAGTTGGAATTATGTTAGCAGCACCTAACAGCAACAACAACAACTGTACCTTCTTAATCTAGTATTTTACCAGGTCAGGCAACACTTAGCAAAATTAATTTATTTTCGCTTGTCCTTTTTTCTGCCCTCTGCTATAAGTTCAGAAAACCAAACTCAATGCGATTGAGTCGATGCCAACTCATAGCAACCCTATAGGGCAGGGTAGAACTGCCTCTGTGAGTTTCCAAAACACTAACTGGTACAGGAGTAGAAAACCCTGTCTTTCTCTCAGTGAAAGGGTGGTGGTTTCAAACTGTGGACCTTGTGGATCGCAGCCTAACACATAACCACTATGTCACCAAGGTTCCTTTGTGTTATAAGCAGGCAGCAATAGTAAGAAAAGAAGAGATTATAGTTAATATATGATCTGGATTCTAATCTTTGAGAGTAGTGCAACTTTAAATAATTTTTTCTTAAAAGTTTGAAAGTTTTTTTCATTTGGTTTATAGACTGTTGATTTGCTTGGTTGGTTTCCTTCTATGGTTAACATTGATCTTTTATTTATTACTAGGGTTCAGGAAGAATGTAGAACTGCAAAAGGTGATATAGAAATTGGACTTTATACAGTTGAAAGGAAGAAAAAGCCATCTTTTACTGCACAAAGGGTAAGCTTTGTTTTATGGTACTTAGGATATACTGTTTTAAAATCTTTGCAAATGCCATGTTTTTGCAAGGAAATAGTTGTGTATTAAGGAACTTCATTTTTTAGGTACTTGCATATGGAGAATATTTTTTTAAACCCCATATTGGTATAAAACCAAAAATCCAAACCCATTGCCATCAACTTGCTTCTGACTCATAGTGACTGTATAGGATAGAGTAGAATTATTCCATAGGGTTTCCAGTTTGTGAATATTTACAGAAGCAGACTTTCTATATTGTTCTCCTGTGGAGTCAGTGGTTGCTTCAAATCACTGACTATTTAGTTAGCAACCACGTGCTTAGCCACTGCAGTACTGCGGTTCCTGCATATATGGCTTTTATTAGTAAGAATGAAATGATATAGGTATCAGAGCATATAAGGTATCTTAAAAAGTCTAGGACATGTAGATAAAGTATGCTTCTATTAAAAACATTTTATATGGTAAAGGAGAACTTTAAGATTGATTATTAATCACAAACTAAAGCAATTTCTCAGATGCCTTAGGCAAGAAGTAGGCAAGAGACTTAGCCTGTGGGCTACCTCCAGCCTGTTGCCTATATCATATCTGTAAATAAAATTTTACTGGAATATGACCACACTTAATCATTTTGTATTTTCCATAGCTTGTTTCATGCTATATATGACAGAGTTGAGTAAGTGCAAGAGAAAGTCTATGGCTCTCAAAACTGAATATATTTACCTCTGGTCCTTCAATGGAAAGTTTATTGACCCTTGCCACAGGTCTTTTACTGGTCTACCTAAGCATATGGGAGTAAAATATGATTAATGCATTGAGTAGTACTGGACTCATATTTCCAGTAGAAGCTGCTATGCATGGAGTAGGATTCCAGCATCCCATTAGGTACATGGTAAGCATTTTTGTAGTACTATCAAGTTCACCAAGGTAGGAGGACACTTTTATTCTTTGATGTGATATTTTAAAGAATCAGGGCGGGGGGAGAATCTAGGATGATTTTGATAAATAAATGTAGGCAATTGACCTTGAGTTTAAATTTTTTTCAACATTGATGAAAACAGTTTTAGGTAAGCATCATGTGAACAACTCCAAATATTCTCAAATCATTTTGATTCTTGCTTTCTTGCTTTCTATTTTGGTTTTGTTATTTTCTTTGATGTTCTCTGATAAAATTGTTTTCTTAGAGAGTTTGAATGGCACATCTGCAAGATTTTTATGCTTCTTTTCTTGTTAAGTTGATTTGTTACAGCTATGAGAATAATAGGGTAGTTGGGTTTATAGACACATATATTGAAAATACATATTTTACATATGAGGCTGAGTCAAAACGTATTGCTACAAAATCATAGAAAGCTTTATTAAACAGAAATATCAAAATGTGAAGCTATTGTTTCTCAACATACCCTCCTTCTAGGTCTATACACCTCTGAAGGCGGTGTTTCCATCTCTCTAACCCTTCCCTGAAGAATTCTGCACTCTTCGATTTACACCACGTCAAAATGGCAGTTTTGGCATCCTCGAGGGAATCAAATCGTGTTCCTTTTAAATGTTCTTTGAGTTTGGGGAACAAAAAGAAGTCTGAAGGGGCAAGATCAAGGCTGTAGGGTGGATGGGGTAAGGTTTCCCAACGAAATTCTCCTGGGACAGCCCTTGCTACCCTCGAAGATTAAGCAGGTTTAGTGTCATGATGGCAGACAGTTAGTTCCTTGTCCGAACTTCCCTAGCAGCAGTTTTCCATTTTCTTAAAATTTCTTCATAATAAAGCTCTGTGGTCGTCCTGTGCCCTTTAAGAAAAATGTGTCAAGATTGCCCCTTTGTAATTCCATGTAAGGATTACCATAACTTTTTGAGCTGACCTCTCTGCCTTGAATTTAACTGGCCCAGCAGCGGATCCCCTCTGAAGCCATTGCTTTGATGGAATCATTTTTGCCAATCTCCTTAATGAGAATACAACAAGTGTATTACTGAGGGAACTTGTTCGCAGCTATCTACTAATCTCAAGACATGTTTGAATACATTTTGCTTGGCATAAACCCATGCACGTATGGCCTGGAATCCTAGTAGCAATACTTTTTGACTTACTGTCATATAAGATGAAAAACTAGCTCTTCATACGTATTTACAAGGTTGTTAAACTTGTTTACATCTAATGGCTTATTAGGGTAATAGATTTACTATATAGCATTTTAATATAAACACTTAATACTTGTAAAGGTTTAGATAAAACAATTTTTACTTTAACTTGTTAAAAATTAAAACTTTATTTTGACCTACTTACCAAATGGATATACTGCCAAATCTTGTTAAAACCACAAGTGGATTATACATAATGACTCAATGTTTACTTCTCTGTTGTTCACATATGAGGGTACGTCAAAGAGTATTGCTTCAAAATCATAGAGCTATTTAGTAGGCAAAGTATGAAGATTTGAATCTATTTTTTTCCTGATTTAACCCCCAACTGGAGACAGTGTTTTCATCACCCTAACCCCTACCTACAGAATTTTGCAGTCTTCAATTTGCACCATGTCAAAATGACCGTTTTAAGATCCTGTAGACTCAAAGCATGTTCCTTTTAAATATTTTTTTCTGAGTTTTGGAAACAAAATGAAGTCCCAAGAGGCAAGATCAGGCCTGTAGGATGTATGGGGAAAGGCTTCCCAATGAAATCTTAAAGGGCAGCTCCTGCTATTCTCAAAGACTGAGCAGGTGCATTGTCACGAATGAAAAACGTTTCTTGGTGCTACTTTCCTGGCCTTTTTCTCATCAGTGCAGTTTTCAGTTACCTTTAAATGTTTTCGTAAAGTCTCTGTGATTGTCCTCTGTCCTTTGAGAAAATCGATCAATATTATGCCTTTGGGATTCTCTTAAACAGTTCCCACAATAACCTTCTGAGCTGTTCTTTGTTGTTGTTCCTGTTAGGTGCCATCAAGTCAGTTCTGACTCATAGCAACCCTACAAATGAAACCTTGCCTAGGCCTCTGCCACCCTCACAATTATTATATTTGAGCCTCTTGCACCTGCTGTCTCGAGCCATCTTCTTGAAGATCTTCCTCTGTTTTCATGATACTTTGCTAAGCTTGATGTCTTTCTCCATGGACTGGTTTCTTGAATTTAATTGGTCTAGCAACACAACTCCTCAGGAGCCATTGTTTTAATTAGACCTTCCTTTTGACAGCTCCCCCACCCCCAATAAGACTAAGACAAATATAATACTGAAAGAGCTTGTCTGCAGCTATCCACTGCTCAGGGAAACATGTTTAAATACGTTTCATTTGGAATAAACTTGTGCACATATGAATTGTACCCTGGTAGCAATACTTTTTGACTTAACCTTCCTGGGATTAGGCATGGCTTGTTTGTGTGTGTTTGTTATCTGTATGACTTGTTGTATCCCAAAATCAAATTATGTATTATGTTTAGATTAATGAATATAGATTGATTGAATTATGTCATGTAATTTTTAATAAATCACTCTTTGGTGTATTTCCTTTTTATCTGTATGAGGGTTTAGACTTAATTAATTCTAAACTTCTTTAATTCTTAAGAACCTAAGGATGCTAATCTAGAATGAAAAGAAGTATGGCTTACGAAAGCCAATTCTGTCTTTTAACATTTTAAC